CCCTCTCCATCCCTTCTCCCCCTCTCCATCCCTTCTCCCCCTCTCCATCCCTTCTCCCGCTCTCCATCCCCTTCTCCCACTCTCCATCCCCTTCCCCACGTTCTCCATCCCTTCCCCACGTTCTCCATCCCCTTCTCCCGCTCTCCATCCCTTCCCCACGTTCTCCATCCCCTTCTCCCGCTCTCCATCCCCTTTTCCCGCTCTCCAGCCCTTCCCCACGTTCTCCATCCCCCCTCCCGTGGTCCCTCGGCCCCGTCCCGCTCACGTTGTTGATCATGAGGTGCATGATGGTCTTTGGCATCAGGTCCCGGATGGATTTGTTGATGATCCCGACGTAGGAGTCCACGAGGTTCCGGATGGTCTCCACCTGCCGCTCCAGCTGCGGATCCATGGAGAAGGTGTTTTCCTGCGCCCCGTCCTCGCTCTCCGTCTGCTCGGGGGGGGAAAGCAGGGAATGAGTCACCGCCGGGATCGGGAGGAGACCCCTCTGGCTCCGCGTCATTCCCGTCCTGCGGGAATTTCATCCTCTTCCCGGCGTTTTCCAGGGATTCCCAGGAGCGTGGGAGCCAAGCTGGGGGCTCCCGGCTCCTCCAGGGGCAGCCCCTGCTCCGGAGGGATCGGGATGTTGGGAGGGGGGGGGTTTACTTGGTCTTTCTCGGGATAAACTCCCGCCCGGAGGAAGGAGGCTTTCCAGCTGTCCACGTCCTCCTGGGAATCGCAGGCCAGCTCGATCTGCCGGAGATCCTTGTACACGTTCCTGGGGGGAAGGAGCAGAGCCGGGGGTCGGGGGGAGCCCCCGGAGCCCCAAATCCCGATGGAATCCCAGGATAAACGCCGGATGAGCCGCTGCTTCCTCCGGGAAAACACCCCTCCCTCCCCCCTGGAGCGGGATCCCGGACGGATGCGGGGCCGGGGTTTGGAGGGAAGGGAAAATCCACGGAAGGCATCCCCTGCCCCCGGGATCCCGGGATTCTGGGGGTGATCCCACACCTCTGCTCCGTGTTGAAGATGGCGAAGACGTGTTTGGTGGACATGAATCCCTTCTCCACATCCCTGATCTTCAGGTTATCCAGGGGCAGCATGTACTTCTTCTCCTTCTCCTGGAAAAGGGGGACGAGAGGGAAGGAGGGGTGAGCCCGGGAGCGCTTCCTGGATGCCAAAGAGGCACCTGGAATGGGAATAAACCCCCCACAGCCCTGGGAAGGCGGCACAGATGCAAACTCCAGAACAGATTCCAAACTCGGGAACAGATCCCAAGCTCTGGAACAGATCCCAAGCTCAGGAATGGATCCCAAGCTCTGGAACGGATCCCAAGCTCTGGAACGGATCCAAGCTCCGGAACTGATCCAAACTCCAGAACAGATCCCAAGCTCCGGAACAGATCCCAAGCTCTGGGATGGATCCCAAGCTTGGGAACAGATCCAAGCTCCGGATCAGATCCAAGCTCCGGAACTGATCCCAAACTCCGGAACGGATCCAAGCTCCAGAACTGATCCCAAGCTCCAGAACGGATCCCAAGCTCCAGAACTGATCCCAAGCTCTGGAACAGATCCCAAGCTCCCCCCAGGGAAGGTTCACCAGGAGATGCTTCCCTGGCTCATCCCGTGGCCAACCCCAGCCTGGGATGGGGGGAATCTGTTCCCGGACCCCCGGTGGGACCACGGATCCCTCTGGGATCTGCTCTGCCTCTCCCAAGGATGCCGAGGAACCCACCGGAGATTTGGGATTTGGTCCCTCCGGGATGGAATCGGCTCCCCCGGAGCCCACCCCGCTCCCAGCGGGGATCCCCCGGAACGTCCCCCTGGAGCCGGGGGCCGGGAGGAGCCGGCGGAGCCCCCGGGGCCGATTCCAGCGGCCCCTTTCCCGCCACATCTGGAACCGTTTAGGGCGGCTCCAGCTCCACTTCTGTGTCTCCAGATGGTCCCAAAAAGTGACGTTGGCCTTTGTGGAGAGGCCACGAACCCGGCGCCGGCCCCCCCCCCCCTTCCCACCCGCCTCAGCCCCCCTCCCTCCCTCCCTCCCT